AATGCCAGAAATGGAAAAAGCATGTTGAAAATATCAAAATGACCAAGTTTGAGGCCCCCATCATTAAAGAATGAGATTTTATGACAGTCTGAATTTTTACAAGAATAAGAAGATTTGGATGGAAAAAGTTGTTGGAGAGCAAGACCTTGCTCTCCAGCAACATTTTCCATACAAATAATGTTAATTTCTGAAAATTCAAACGGTTGTATAGACTTACTCTTTAACACCAGGGGCCTCAAACTTGGCCATTTTGGTATTTTCGATATACTCTTTCCATTTCTGGCATTCTTCAAGTTATAACCCATAATATAAAAATTTTCTAGGAAAAATTTGGTCATGTGACTCCAGCTGCAAAGGGCCTATTATGTATGTAATCAACAGCTAATAATGAACAGAGAGTACACGTAAATGGATAGTATACTAAACGGTTCTGGTGAACATTTAAATGGCTAACAAATATTGGCAAACAGCTTGGAAAAACGTTTGACTGGTTTGTGAAAATTTCCGTATGGATACTGGAAGCATTACAATGTAGATGGTTGTGAAAAATTCTCAACTGAGTGTGCTGGTAGCAAAAATGTTTCAATAGAAAACTAGAAGCATTTAAAACGGTTAGCTAACTTTTTCAATGGTTCGACCATCTAGGGATTGTTCAAATCAAAAGATTTAATCCATCTGTGAAAAGCACTTACCTCCTGCTCAAAACAACATTAATGAAATCCTGCTCTGAATGGTACATAAAACATGATTCTTTACAACCAAACTTACCTATCAGCTCCAGCACATGACAACATTTTGTTAATCCTGATGACGTGGAATGGATGCAGCCTCATACGCAGATGGAAGGAATCTTTACCACAATTCTTCACCATGTATTTGTTGCAGCAGATACGGGCCGCTTCCAAGGCTTCACTTGAGAGCTGTTCATACTCATCTGACACCATATGAACACAGAGTGGAAGCTCATCCACACGTGCCTTTTTACGACCCAAGTCATAAATTCTTATCTTGGCATCTGTGAGGTAAAAAATGAAATGATGCTGTAAAAGGGGGTAAAAAATATACTGCCTGATATGTTTATTATACTGAATGCCAATGTATCTATAGAAGGTAGAAAAAAGTTAATGTTCTAGCTACATGTATAAGGAAAGATCCATCCAGGGCTAACAGAAGTCATGACCAATGGTCCAAACATTCACTATTGTACCAGGACCATTGCAGTTTATTAAAAGTTCCAACAGGCAATAATTATCCATTGCCATTGCCAGAAAATAACTGTTCAAGAAAGTAACAGTGACCTCTACCTTGTAGAATAAGACTAAAAGATGCTGTTAGTCTCGAGCTACAGAACAACTATTACTGCACCTTGTAAAAAGCAAAATAAATTTATTTGCAAAGTAATCTAGAGTGTTTTGGATTAGTGAAATGGATTGCTAGGATTATCAGTTGAGTAAGGCACAACTTAAGTTTGGTCACCAGGTTTTAATGTGAAAAAAGTGTTGTTGTCATGGACATCTGGCTCTGTTTCCAGTGGCAACTTGTCGGTCTTTGATGTCATTGGTAGCAAAGCATGCAAATTTATAGGTGACACATCAGGCGACAAATGGCTGTAGACATTGTTACCAATGGAAACAAGGTAAGTTGCCTGTGACAACACAGTAATTTTAAGGCTATAACTTTGTCACCAAACTTCCATCATGCTTTACTCAACTGATAATTGTAGTATGGCTCTGGAAAAACTCTTCTTCTGATTACTGCCTATTCAATGAAATATATACAATTTAACCCCTCTATTTTGAATTCTCAAGGGAAATGAAAAATAGTTTGAAATAGTGGGGATTCAAAATAGGCGATGATAGTAAATGACTGAAGGACAAATCCAAGGAAAATGGTTTTGAGTTGGAAATAATGGGGAATTTAAAATAACCAAGTTCGAATAAGCAGGTCAAACTGTACTTCAAAAGCAGACGTCAGAATTCAAACAGAGAAATAATTCCTCACCTGGCACACCACGGCAGAAGCGAGACTTGGGATATGGTTTGTTCTTACAGTAACGATAACTATAACAGAAAAATACATATGTAAATGTACATCAAAAACTGATCACTTTACCAGTAAAAGTTTAAATTTCCTCCTTTTTTGTGTGTGCAGTAACCAGAAACAGTGTTGGAGGACTGATGAGATCAAAATGGTTATTAATGCCATACATTTCTTCATGATGATGCAGAAAATCTAAATACGTTGAGAAATACCCATTGTAATTGAATAGGCCATTTCTGAGTTGCCTATTGCCTCTGTGTCAAAACAAGTCTTCATGCAGAACTATTCATAAGAAAATGTGTTCCGCCTACAGGTTCATCTTCATGCAAATCGTGCAGATTTTGCAAGGACTCATTTTGAAACAGAGGCACAATGTAAAATGGAAATGGCCTATTACTTCAAATGTCTTTTTCATGTGGGCCAGATGCAATACTGAATGATTTTTCTTAATATGAATGAAAAATACACTGCCTTTAAACCAAAATAATTTACAAGGTGTGATTATTAAATGATATAAATTTAAACTGTGGCTAATTGATCGGCAGCCGGTCAAGGTTTTCAAATCACTAAATGACCGGCAGGCTGATATCGTCATATGATTGTTTGAATTGGATGGGTTCCTTCGATTCCTTAAATTTGAGAAAAATTTCAGACTGCCGGTCATTTAGTGATTTAAAGACCGTGACCGGCAGTCGATCTAAAAAAAAAAATTGTAAGTGTCACAAACCAGCATAAACCAAGCGTTAGTCTTGCGATCTATACAGCTTTTCTGGATCGCTTGGTAGTTCTTAATCGACATGTGATAGTTTGAATTGAATGAGTTCCTTCGATTCCTTAAAATTTGAGAAAAATATCAGACTGCCAGTCATTTTGTGATTTGAAAACCATGACAGGCAGTCGACCCCAAAAAATCTTAAGTGTCACAAACCATGGTCTTGCTCTGAACCGAGCGTAAACCAAGTGTTGGGCTTGCGATCTATACAGCTCTTCTGGATTGCTTGGCAGTTCTTAATCGACATATGATAACTTGAATTGGATGGGTTCCTTTGATTCCTTAAAATTTGAGAAAAATATCAGACTGCCGGTCATTTACTGATTTGAAAACCTTGACCTGCTGCCGGTCATTTAGTCACAGCGATAAATTTGAGCTCAATTTAAAACTTAACCACTGTTTTGGATGATTTATGCCCAGATTATTACATTCAGTGTATTCTAGGATTGAGAGACTCGTGCTATTTACGAAATTTTCTCATCTACATGTAAGCTTACATTCATTGAGTCAGCAGAAACTATATACAATTATCACGCTGACTTTAACATAAGAATTATAAAATAGAGCTAATTAAAATATCGAATGTAACTTAACTTGAACTTACCAACGGGCAGGTCTGCGCCCCATGTTGACTACGCTGAAATAAGAAAAATTATGCTCGGTCACGATTTACGGTTACAATGTGCATCGACGACATAAGCTTTTGCAGAGTCACAGGGAATCAAAGATCCTAGAAAACTTATTACGAACAAAATGACCTCCCGGCTCCTAAAATAGCTTTAGAGTATTTTGGTCTGATAAAAGGTTTTTTTTCTCATCAACCCTCACATAGAATACTGAGGACATAAAGGCTCGAGTCAGTCTTATTAGCAACGAAAAACATGAACAGATTAGACAATGATATTTTACGTTTTAATGAGCGAATTCGGTAAAATAGTACGACAAAAGAAACAGTCAATGCTACTTCTTGCTCTATAGAGTGGTATGATTATATAATAGAAAACGATGCCCACAGATTCGACAAGATATTCTCGCTAAATCTCCACCATTTTCACACTTACCAAAGCAATGCAAAAGGAAGCAGACAAGTGACGATGTCCCGGATACTGACCAAGGTAAATCCGCTGATTTGGAGTTTCAAATGTCGGCTCAAGTATTCCCATCTCACCTCACGGCCGGATAGTTGGCGTTTGAAGTTTTGGCCTCGCGCCAGGCTTCAAGTTTGAAAAGATGGCGGGAATTTCGTCGATCGTGTAAACAAAAAAAGTTATGAACTTTATATGCTTTCCCAATTTTTCCGGTAAGCAGCAACATTTTAACTTCACTAATGGAATGCTGGTGTATTGTTTTTGTTTTTCGGACAAAATTAACATATAGCTGGTTTTCACATGACGTCACTAAAATTCGAACTACAAATCTATTGATCTTCCTGAGATTTTACTTAAATGATGTATAAGAGCAGCTGAAA